GATTTAAAAATTGTCAAAGTTGAAATTTATAATAAAAACATAGTAAGTGGACTCAAACTTTTGGAAGCAACTGTAATCATTTTTTTCTTTTCTTTTCATATCTTTTTAATTTGAATTTTCTATTAAGAGGAATATAGATTTTTATAATATTTTATGATTTATATATTTGACTTATATCTAAGATTTTTAATTTTTTTTTCTTTTTTAATAATATTAAGTTTCTTTTTTTATTAAATTACTTTAATATAACAATTGTTTCAAAAAAAATTTTTTTAAATTCTTTTCCATTTTTTAATAGAATTTATAAATTATATTTTATATAAATATTATAAAAATTTTAAGTTGTTCTTTAAAATAATTCTTCAAAAAATAATCTTGCTTTCTTTTTTATCTTATAAATAGTATTAAAGAAACTTTTATTAAATTGCAGAATTTTATTTAATTAATTTTTTATTCAATTATCAATTATCAATAAAATATTCTTTTTATTTTTTATTTTTTTTGTTAATATAATATTTAAAAATTTATTATTATTATTTTTTTTATATACTGTATCTTCTTTAGTTTCTTTAGTAACTAGAAATTTAAAAAAATAATTTAATATTTTTTTCTAAAGTTTATATACTAAACAGGTGATTATAATATAAAAACCCAATTTTATTTTTTTTTTAAGTATTTATAAAATTAAAAATTTGTTAAAATTTGATATACTAAGATTTGACAAATCTTGATAAAATTAATTAAAATTTGATAATTTATATTTGAAAAATGTTTCTATAGAATGATAATTATATATATTATAAAAAAATTTTTCTATTAATTGATAGTAAAGTTTAAAAATCCTTTATTACTATTTATTTTTCTTGAAATTTGATCAATATTTAATAATACTTGAAATATTTTTATCATTATTTATATTTCATTTAATACGTTATTTGTTAGTATCCTTTCTTCAATCTATATTAATTTAGTAAGTTATTTATAAATACTCAAGAAAAAATAATATATAAAATTAATAACTAAATAATAAATTGAATTAAAGTAAAGTAGGTGAAAAAATTCAAACTATTTGATATGATTATCATTAATAAAATATTTTTGTGTTATATTTGTATTACAATACTTCTATTTGATATAATCTTATTTATGTGTTATCAAATCTCTCAATATAATTCATTTGTTTATATCCCTTATATTACCAAAATTGTAATAATTATTTTTATAATTAATATTCTTGTAATAATAGTATAACACTAGTACTGAAATATATCCACTCGCTTTTTATACTATAGAAATATTACATGAAATTAAATTAAGGCTACTCAAATTATTTCTTTTCATTTTTAGCAGTTGAATTGAACTTTATTTCTTGCTATAATTATATTAATTTATCAACAATTAAAAAGAAAGGTAATAATTTATTTGATATAAACTTGATTCATTAGAACTTGATAATATATTAAAAATCAATATATTTTTGTACTTTTACATGACAAATTTGTGATAGTCATATATATAACCCTAGTATTATATACTTTATTATTGAATAGTTGAAACTATAAACTTTAAAAAAATAATAATAATTTGTAAAAAAAAAAAAATAAATAAATCATTTCAATATAATAGATCTCTATAAAATTTACATCAAAAATAAAAAAAAAATCTTTAGATATTTTATAATTAATTCTTTTTTTTTTAGATATTTTCTTGCTATTAATGATAAAAATATTATTTGATTTTTTTTAATTATTAAAAATCAAGTTTTTGATCAAAGAAGTTTATAAACAAAAAGAAAAATATGGTTATAACCCATATTAAGGATAATAAATTCTTTTGAAAAAATTTATTAATTTAAATAAAAATTTATAACATATCTCGATATTATTATTTAAAAAAATTTTTTTTTTTAAATAAATTATTAAGTTAAAAATTATATTTATATAGGTTGAATACCTTCTTCTTTATATACTGTATTTACGATTAAAATTAATTAAGCGGTATTAATATGTTCAGATTTCAGTGGTTGAAATGAAATTAATTAATCTGCGTGCAACCCACTGTTCTAAAAAAAAACCTGCACTGCATATCGTGCACCAGCAAATTTTCGCATATATATGTCAGCGGAAACGTTCTAGAATTGCAATTTAATTTATTTATTTCTACAATGTCACTCCGCCCGAAGAGGATCAACTTTGACAAAGAATTTGAAGTGTTCAAAAAAGATTTAGAGCAGTTGTTTAATTTTTCGGGATTGGACCAGGCCTCCGGAATGAAAATGTATCAGTATCCTTTATTTTATTGGTGACAAGTTTAGAAACCGGTTCACTTTATGTTCCTTGATTTGAAGAACAAATTGAAGATCGGTGTATGATATGTGCACTTCCTCCAAATCGTACAACACCAAGTTGTTCAACTCCATTGCGGACTTTCTGACATTACACACAATAGAGATTAGAAAGGTACGCAAAAAAATATTTTGAATGGCAAATATGATCTCGAGTTAAGATTTAAATGTTTCTTAGTAAACATAAAGTATTCTTTCGTTTGATTGCGTTGAATGTTTCTTTATCAAGTCGATTTTGGATCATGATGATGTGGTCAGTTCATATGCTAGGGAATTTGCGAACTATAAAATCGCTTCTGAATCATCCAGTATAATCTGTGAATACCTCAATCGACTCTTACTAAAAAACAAAAACGATGACAAACGTCAAACTGTAGGAGACAGTAGATACAAAAGGCAAACTATTCATGCGGTTCGTATCTTTATTCGATACGCATTTCGACGCGTTGACATGATCGCTTTTCATGTTGATATTAAAAGCTCACATTTTCAAAACCCATCTCTAAGTTGGCTTACTTGATATGGAAAGAACGAGTTGTCTACGATATCAAGCATAATCATTCGGATCGGCTCATGTATCAGATATTTGAGAGCATACGAAGAGACAGGGATGGGGAAGAGCAAGTTCCTGACGTCGTCGCGGAAGTTATCAGATCATTTGGTTTGTAATTGAAATCATAATTTTTACGAATCACGGGTCATCTTTAGGCGACATTCACTAATATAATTTCTTGGAATTCCAGTCGAACTTAATTTCTTAACTGAGAATCCATTAAAATTGTACGTCGAGGAATTCGAAGAACCGTACTTGGAAAAGACGCGACAATATTATGAAAGAGAATCCGCTTTAGTAATAGCAAATGGCAACATTTCGCAATACATGAAGTCGGTAAGTTGGGTTTATTAAAGATGGCATATGGTAATAATATAATTCATTATTTTCATTAATGCGTAGGCATGTAAAAGATTAGAACAAGAAGTGGCGCGTAACAAAAAATATTGTAACGAGTCATCACATAGTACTGTAAGTTGAACAGCGCATATCGCTTTACGTTTCGCCGAATTATTCTCCTCACTTTAAAAATGTTATTCGAAAAATAGATTATCAAAGAATGCGAAACCCAATACGTAGCCGTGCATCAATCACGAATACATTCTGAATTCGAGTCCATGATATCAAACGAAAGATTTGAAGGTATGAATAAAATTTTTAAGACGCTAATTGTGCTCGACTTCGATGTTCAACTTTATGCGCATTTATCCCCAATACCTATTTAGATTGTACCATGGCCTACAACCTCTTATCACGTATTCCCAGTGGAGTTAACCAATTATTGGAAATATTTGAAAAATACATAACGAATATTGGACAGGAATTGATTGCTCGAATGGGAAATTCAATAGCCAAGGTATTCGTCAATTAGAAAAAACTGAACCAATTTCCGATACGGCTTCTTATATGATTTAAATATCATCCAGGATCCTAGAGAATATGTGGAGTCACTCATGGATCATCACACGGAATATATGAATCTCTGTCAGAAAGTATTTGACAATGATCCAGCATTTGTCGCGGCAGTTGATAAAGCCTTTAGAACGATTGTAAATGATACGAACACCAATCCTCTGGCACATGCTCCCGAGGTTCTCGCTCGTTACTGTGACGTGATGTTGAAAAAAACTCACAAGGGTAGTTGGAGTGAACAGGAGGTTGAGGAAAAGTTGAATAAAATGGTGAGTCATCTGCGTTAATACATATAACACCTTGACTCTTTGACGATTTATTAATAAATTATTTTTTTATTTAGATCACTCTTTTTAACTACATAGACGACAAAGATGTTTATCAGAAATTTTATTCAAGGATGCTGGCCAAACGCCTTATATATGGCAATTCTGCTTCAGAGGAGGCCGAAGCAAACATGATATCTAGATTGAAGGTTATTATATTATTATTATTATTATTACATTGCCATTATTATCGTTAGTGCTTGAAATTATATTTTTGGATATTTGATTCTTTAGGCCTCTTGTGGCGTGGAATATACCAGTAAATTGCAGAAGATGTTTACAGACATCACAATTAGTACGGACATCAATAATAGCTTTGCCGATTACATGAAAAAAAATGTTGTGAATGGTGGGTACGATTATTCATTAAATACAGTATATCTCGAGATCATCTTCAACACAGGTTCTCACATTTCTCCTTTTTTTTTCTCAACAGCATCTTCAGTGGGTTTTTCTATATTAGTTTTAACGGCCGGAGCATGGCCATTAACACAAGCTTCAACGACGGAATTCCAGCTTCCTACTGAGGTAATAAACTTACGGCTTGATAAGAATTATCGTTGAATTTGATAATTAAACACGAATCTTAACTTATAAATTTAGTTGGAAAAAAACGTCTCCGATTTCTCAACTTTCTATAATGGTCATCACGTCGGAAGAAAGTTAACATGGTTGTGGCATTTGTCTAAAGGTTAATTAATATAAATTTTAGAGATTCGATTATCGAAAAAAATATGTTAACCTGTTAATGATTATATTTCTAGCGGATGTGAAGTTGAATTACCTTGATAAACGCTATGAGTTCTCGGTATCACTTCATCAACTCGGTGTCTTACTTTTGTTCAACAACGCTGATTCCTATTCTTTTAAAGATATAAGGGATCATACTGGACTGAATGATCAAGAATTAAAGAGGGTTATGAAGGTATCTAAAAAAAAAAAAAAAAAACATCGTACGGCGCCATCAAATCTAACGATACCTTTTTTATTTATGTTCGTAGCCTATGATTGATTTATCGGTTTTCCTTGTAATCCCAAACGGTATTCTTCAAGATGATGCAGAGATAAAGTTGAACATGGACTTTACAAAGTGAATATATTGACATTCTCTCTTGTTCATAATTCAAGTTTAGCCTTGTATTAACCACAACATGCGTGCTTGTACAGTAAACGAAATAAAATAAAGATCAGTTCCTCCTTGCAGACTGAAACACCACAGGAAAATGATGCCACACGAAAAGCTGTCGACGAAGATCGAAAACTATATCTGCAGGTAACGATGAATTTCTATTTAAATAATAATTCTTAAAGGAAGATTATCAGGGTAACAATGCTTGACACAACTTTCAAATAAATTGTATAGGCATCAATCGTTCGTGTTATGAAGTCGCGCAAAATTTTGACGCACAACATACTAGTAAGAGAGGTTATAGATCAAGCGAAAGATAGGTTTAACCCTAGTATATCGATGATTAAAAAGTGCATCGAGCAATTATTGGACAAGCAATATATAAAGAGGACCAAGGAAAATAAAGATAAATATGTTTACATGGAATAAAAATTGAAAATTCTCCACATCTTAAATTATTGTGAAATGTGAGAGACAAAGTTCCCTTTGCTACAAAGTTCCGGCGTCACCAATGACGAACATCAATAATATGATCTTTTAAGAACTCGGTATTTCCTCAGATAATATAGTGTTTCTAATTCTTTAAAAAGTAATAAATATTTATTAGAATATTTTTTATTCATATCCATAGCATGTTTTTATTTTTATCAGGGAGGACATCTAATCGGCAAGGAATGTTGATTAATGTACCATGCCGATGATCCCGATCATCAATAAAACATACCTTTTATAACATATTCACCGGTGCCAATTGCACTTTTGATTTCTTCACTTGTTAAATCGCGATTTTTTAAGAATGCTTTTTTTAATCTTTGACGAAAATATGAATAGCCTAACGGATACTCCCTACCAACGAACAAAAGCTATTTTTATTGCATGAAGGTGTCAAAAGATTGATTCGTTAAACGCGTGGTCAGCAGTTAATCGGGTGAAACCATTACCCTCTTGTATAAATCCCTGACTTGGTAACGAAGCGGTATTTGCTGCGACATGTTTTAATCGAATGAAATTGGCAGATCAAGCTCAAAATTAACCAGACATACAGGAATCCTGAAATGTTATGCAATGCGATGCAATTTTAATTTCCTGCTTGCATATTAATTAAATGTGCAGGAAAAGTCACGTTTCACAAATACTCTTTTTGTATGCCAAATTTTATAACAAGCAAATTTGTCTACAATACTTTATAATATACAGTATATTATATATGACAAATATTATAGTACAGTAATAGAAAACTAATTATAAAAAAACTCGTTTCGCAAAATCCCTCGATCCAAGAAAAAATTCTTTTTTAGGCAATCCATCCAAGGAAAGAGAAGGGAGTTCTGAGAGAACTCTTTGGGTTGGTTTAAGGAAAGTAATATGACTTTATTAGTCAA